GGGGGGGGTAGGGAGAGAGGAGGTAGACCCACATTCATAATACGTTACCAGATGATAAACTTGTTATTGTTTTCGTACGCGGCAAAAAAAAAACACGGACGGCGACAACGAACTCGTCGAAACAGCAGCAGCACGAACCTTCGAGAATCCCCAACGCCCTCGCGATGAGCGCAAAGTAGGGCGGGATGTTGAAGGGGATTTCGAGAGTCGCCCTACCCAGGTCCCTCGCCAGGCTCTGGTAGTTGAGGCTCTTCGCGCCGCCCCCCTCGAACACGTAAGGACCGATCACCCGCTTCATCACGGGCTCCACCTGTTTGATCCATTCCGAGAGCATTTCTGTTATTAGGCGTTGTCACAGCGTGTTAACCCTGGTGGAAGTACTTACAAGGATGTTTTTCATGCTATTGGAGTGCGTGTGCGTTTTGTGTGCACGGCTTTGGATACAAACCAGTCTGCTTCCCTCATGCTAGAGACCTTTTTTTCGGGCCCACCGTAGTGCGGTTCAAGGGTTGGCCCTTCGCTCTTGCGGGTCATGGTTGTGTTCGCGGTCGCACTCCTTGGGAACTTTTCCCGCACGCTGTTGTCAGCGCTTGTCTCGCTCCACCTTTCAATACCAACTATCCGCAGGCATCTAAGCTACTAACAGGTCCTTGAGGGGACCTGCGAACCCCGATCGCCGGCCAGTCAAACCCTGCTGCTGCAAAGGCAGACCGTAGTACACCCGATGATTCGAAGAAGGTTCTGTAACGGTCAACACCCCTATTTTGTGTGAGCTTGGAGAATTTTTCGAAGGCGTAGAGAGAATCTGAGGCACGAAGGACACATCTCATCTCACTGCCACAGAGACTAATCAGCGGTTTAGCAAATCGGCCAACACTAGCGTCAGAAAATTGTTTCCAGAGAATGAGGTTGCGTGCCACAAAACCTTTCTGTCTGGCTGTTGGTTGGTTCGCTGGTAGCAATGCTGTCATGGCGATAGAAATTGCAACACCCGACGCTTGGTTGTTGACTGGTCGAAAGCAACGCGTTCATGTGTTGTGCTCTTGATGTCTAACCCTAGCCCAAGGTTGACCGTACAGTCAGCACCTGTCCTCGGTCGGTGTCGGCCGGGAGCACGTCCAAGGCCACCAGGTCCTCGATGAGGGACTTGTAGTCCCTGTTGGCGGTGTGGATCAGGGCGCTAACCTGTGCCAGGAAACAATCGGCAACAACAACACCAACCGCGGCAGCCGCAGCCGCAGCCGCAGCCGCAGCAGCAGCATTATCACGAGTTGTCAGTACAAAATATAGCACGTACAGTATTTTGAAGCATGCGGCAGACGAAGGACCAACACGAAACTCATCCCACTCGTGCGTGCCAGGTCCAGCTGCAGTGTATTTGTCGTGGTGAGGCGTGGCCAAGGGGGCAAAGAGGACTTGTCCCAGGGGAGGTGATGCAGGAAGGAAGGGAGGGAGGGAGGAAGGAAGTGACTTGAGCACAGCCCCTCCTGCCTCGGACTAACCAATGTCTTCCTGCCCCAGTATTGCCCGTCTCTGTCGCTTTCTCTGTCTATCTGTCTGTCTGTCTGTCTCTCTGTCTGTCAAACCCTGTGTGAGTCTCTCTCCCTGCTGATAAAATCATTTTGGCCAGGGTGTTTCTGGGATGTGCTCTCTCACCATGCCTTCCCTCTCTTTTGATCCGAGCTCCGCCATGAGCCCGTAGTCCAGGAGGGCCAGCCTACCCCGCTCGTCTCGCATGCTTTCGTCCACGAGGAGCATGTTTCCCTTTCAAAAAAAGACAGAAAAGAAAGCAAAATACACAGAAAGAAGCGCGCGACAAGGGTGCAGCCCGTATCAGATACCAGCTACAGCACGGGACGCAATTATTGCTGCTAGAAGCAGCTCGTGTTCAACCACTTCAGTATCATTATCATTATCATTATTATTGTTTAGCAGCAGCAGCAGCAGCAGCAGCAGCAGCAACGACGACGACAACGACGACGACGACAATAGCAGCGGACAAGGCTTACCGGATGAGGGTCGCAATGCATGAAACCCTCCCCAAGCAGCTGCACCAAGAACGCCTCCTGCGCGATGCTGGTCAACTCACGGATCTGTGTTGGATCGGACACAACCGCGAGTCAGAAGGAAGGGAGGCATGAAGGATGAAGAACGATCAGTGAGTGGTGCGGGAATCGAGCGCACAGATGTTCAAGCATACGAACAACAACAACAACAACAACAACAACGACGACGACGACGACGCAAACACACCTCGCTGGGATCGGCCTTGGTTAGCTTGACGCCGTCGACCCACTCGCTGACGAGAACCCTCCTAGTGGACAGGTCCAACACCACGTTGGGGACGAAGACCTGCCCCTTCATGCCCGACAGCACCTTCTTCATCCTTATCTGATTGTTGGCCTCGTTCAAGAAGTCAAGCTCCTATGCACGGGGTTCGGGTCGTACGGCGAAGGTATTTTTTTGTGTAAACAAAAAGCGAGAGGCAAGAAGTTTCAAACACTTGTTGGCTACAAGCCCAATGGAACAAGGGAGAGAGTTTGTTCCGCATCATGAAGGAAAGTCAAAGAAGGGAATGTTTGATTAAAAGGCGTCACTAGACGCGTAAATAAGACTAAGGGAATGAAAATATTACGTTCGGGGGCGCCTGCATGACACGATGACACTGATGCAGGCAAAAGTTGGTGACTGCAACAGGCAGAGCAACCCCCGCCTGCTGTCAGCTTGAACAAAATATTCACATTATGTACCCTTCTATCTAGCCAATTCACTACTGGTGTAAGGATCGTCACGAGAGCTGTTGAGCGAAAAATCGTGAGAAAGCACACAAAACAAGTCCACCCATGCTCAAAATTTGAAAACCTGACAGACAAGTAAGGTTATTGTCACAGATACCACCAAAGCATCATCACGTGCTTTTCTCGCCACCGTGCAAATGTGACAGAACAAAACAAATCTTGAACGCGTTTTGAGCGCGCGGCTCTGAGAAAACACACAGTCAACGAAATAACGTTCAGATCTTGCAGCCGATTTCTCTCCGATGTGTAGACATTGTGGGATCCTCATGCCGACTAGAAAAAAAACGAAACAAAAAAAACAAATAAACACAAAAGCAAAACGAATAGAGAACATAGACGGGTCAAGAAGAAATCATAACGGAACACGCGCTGACCTGGAAAAAACGAGAAAGGACGGCTTTTCGCCAGCACAACAACAAAACATGAAGAAAAACCAACAACACACCGGGACGGGCGGACAGAAATGACATCATCGACGGCAGGATAAAGCAGCCCCAGCAGCGGGACTGATGAAACAGAACATGGGACTGAGGAAACAAAACAAAGGGACTAACGGAACGAAGCAAGGGACCGTAGGACCGAAACAAGGGACATCTCGCCGACCTGGTAGAAACCCGTGGCCCACACTCGAAGCAGCTCGTTGTAGTCCGTCATCTGGGCCGTCCACCTTCCAAAGAAAGCAAGGAGACCAGGGGAGTGGATTGGTTGACGGATGGATCAATCACACCCGAACCACACACAGGTACTACCATAACAACAGTAGGAATAGCTCACACTCAACACACCCGACGAGTCGATCATTGCGGGGTAATGGTTTTTCCTTCCCAATTACAAGCAGTTGGATTCCTGCGATGGCGTGGGGCAGTTTCTCTACTGCAGACCTGGACGTTATCGTTTTTCTTCGATACATTTTGGTTTTCTTGTCCGGTTTGGAGTTTTTGTCTGATGGAGTTTGAATGCAGAACTGGCATGCTGGACGTTGCGGGGTCACGCCTGATCGTTGCACTGTCTGAAATCTGAAATCATGGGGGGGGGGATGTGATACCATGCTTGCTGGCATCGGGATCAAAAATTCATATCTTGGGTTTTCCGCGGTCGACAGGGGTATCTACCCCCAGCACGGGCCCCACTCTCCCAGCCTTCAGCCGGCGCAGCTTCCCCGGGTCGAAGGGGAGCAGCAGTGCCCGAAGCCAGGCCACGTCCATCCCCTCTCCGTCGTCGTTGCTACTTTCGCTGCTGCTGCTGCAGCAGAAAACCCAAAACATGGATTTACAAAACCCGACGTACGAGACAGCCCACCACGGCACGCAGACCAGACACGGACGCTGCCCGGACGAAGAAGGTCGCCGCGCATCTATTCGCCGGAGGAGGGCGGAGAAGTTGCACTCCCTCCTCCCGACCGATTTTCAAAGCTCGACTGCTCCACAAGCCAAGGGGTTGCGGGATCAGTCCGACACGTTCACGCGGCGGAAAGCCCTCCCTCGACGAGATGCTTTCAAAAGCAACGTTTTCGGTGTTGGCACGACCTTGGTTTGTGGAGGCAGTCGAGCTCTGAACATCGGTCTAGGGGGTGTGCCACCTCTCCGCCTCGAACGGTATGCAGGTACAAGCATTTACATGCGTTCACACAAGCAGGTTCACGAGCTTGCTGTACAAGCGGCAGTTCAGACCCTTGATAATGATTAACATCCCCATGGGACGCAGAGTTCCTCGGTGACATGATGACATAACTTGAATTCAGTTAGACCCGGGACACCCAGGTGTTGAGGCCCTTCATCGGACGTGCTCGCGCGTCCCATAGATGGCGTGTGGAAACGAACAACTGCGGAGCCAGCATGTCACCAACGAACGGCATCGCTTCACTCGTTGAACAAGAATGGAAAACACCTTGCCTCGCCAACCGCCTTCACCGTGAAAACCCGGGCGGAAAAAATGGTGAACGGGAATACGTATCACATTCGTGCACACGCGCCTTCCTCCCTCGGGGTTGACTTGAAGAAAAACGAGTGGAAACCTAGGCAACTGCCAACACTCTTCCCGTCCCGTCAGTAGCTGAACCCCGAAAGGAACCATTTGAAAACGGAACGGCATGATCCATCCGCCTTCTTGAGCCAGCGGGGGTCACGGAACACTTGATGAATAACAATTACCGTGGAAAGCTTTCGGCAATATAATGCGCGGTACATATTGTTGATCGGAAATGGAATGTGGGATTGCATGCTGAACCCGTTCGAGGGATATTTATACCTGTTGGAAAGGTTCTGGTACACCCCGACCGCCCTCTTGAGCACGTAGAGGTCCTTGGTCACCTCCTGCACCAGGCCCGGCCTCTGTATCTTTATGGCCACCGCTCTGCCATCGGAACGCAGAACTCCTCTGTACACCTACGTGGATTGGACGGTAGAGGTGGACAGAAAGGCAGAGATTAGATGGGGGGAGGGGGGAAGGAGAGGAAGAGAGAGAGAGAGAGGGAGGGAGGGAGAGGAGAGAGAGCGACAAACACAGAGCGAGAGGGCCGGGGGGAGGGGGGGGAACAGCCACATCACAAAGTTGGTCAAGGGTTGCATCCGTACGTGCGCAAAACAGGAAGTAGTGAGCAAACCATTTTCATGTCTGAGACATCTCAAACTCTCACACGGTACCGGTAATGTTTTCACCTACAAACACGTTGGCCAGCAGCGATCCAATCTCAAGCGTGCTGCATCATCGATTTCGTTCTCAAGACAAAGACAGAAAGCTGCCGACGTAACGTGGGCCGGTGCGGTTGACGCGATGTCTGCTCAATTCCAAGACCGCACCTTGAGACCGACATCGAACACAAAGACGAAGCGGACCAAAAAAAATGAAAAAAATGCATCACGAGGCGGAATCACCACTCCCTCTCGGCGACGAGAGCAACGTTCAACACGCAGGCAGACCGAAGAGCGCAACCACTCACCTCGAGGATGACACCCCAAAGCAAAAAACTACAGCGGTGCAAAAAAACATAATACACGAGGAGGTCAACAGATTCAGCGCAATGACACCAAGGCGAGGGCGGAGAACGACTTGACATCGCCAACACCGACGAACCTGCGCCAGTGAGGCCGCGGCGATGGGCTCCTCGCTGATCTCGCTGAACACCTCAGAGGGGGGCCTGCCCAGCTCCTGTTCCAGCACCTCCATCGCCAGTGGGGTCGGGAAGGGGGGCACCGCGTCCTGCAGCTTGGCTGAAGCAACGGCGACGACGACGACGACGACAATGTTAGAAAACACTTGCAGTAAGAAACGAACGAACACGGAAATCGGCATATGCTTCCACGGAGAAAAAAACACGTACGTTGGCCACACTTACGGGCAAGAGCTGAACACTATTTGCTGAGGCAGGAGACGTCCTCTAGACTACCAGTGGACGAGACACGCAGAAAAAAAAAACAAAGAAGCTCGAAAACGGCAGGGTGTTGATGTATGGTATATATATCTCTGAATGAAGGCCAACGAATGCCCTTCAAGCCGCCGTTCTTGACGCCGGCGTGCAACCACCGCGCCACCTCTCACGGTTGACCTACGCATGTGTCGTGCGTCCCATTCAAACGTGCCAACATGGCCAGCAGCAGCCCGGTGGCAAGCGCACGTGCACGGCATTGCCCAGCCTACTGTTCCATCCCTTGTGCATGTTCCGTTGGTGGCTATGCCGTTACAGCGATTGGCGAACATTGGTGGAGGTGGTGGGAGTTGCGATGGCACACTTGCGCTCCTTCTCACCTAGCTCGTCTGTGGCCGCGGGCCCGATGACATCGGGGCGGATGGAAAGCGCCTGTCCCAGCTGCACAGAAGCAGAGCAAGGACCAAGACGTAGGGTTAATAGGAAAGAGACAAAAAAAAAGACAGGCACAGGGAGAGAGGCCAAAAAAAAAAAAAAAAGACCACCAAACCAAGATGCGATCGATTGTCAGCCGAACAGAAAATCACGCGTTTACGTTTGCTTCGGAACGGATTCTCGCACTTGCAACAACGGTCTGGGCACAGACAAGAGAACGAGCGCTTCCAAGAATACTTGCAGCAGTGCAACAGACAAAACAGGCTGAAGGTAATGCCATACGGTGGTACAGCCGTTACCATCGTGGGGGAGCTTTCACGTATCGATTCGCCTCGCCGCCTTTGATTGGAGGCACGACACATGGTCACACGACGACGACCTCTACCACCAAAAGCCACCGCAGCCGCTGGCTTCTTCCATGACCAATGCCACCAAAACCACCACAGCCACTTGCCACTCCCATTGATATACCGCCCCTGCTCCTGCTCCTCCACGGCGAACACCCCCACCCACCCACCTTGATGAACGTCGGACCCAGCTTCTCGATGACGATGCGGAGGTCTCGCGCCAGCACAGCCTCGTTCTTCATGATGTTACCGGAGGTGTAGTCCCTCACGACCCTCGTCACGAAGGGCACTGTCACCGACAAGAACTTGCTCCATCGGCTGTTCAGCTGCGCGGGGGGGGGGCGACGGCAACAGCAGCACTCGGGGGCTTGAGGAAGGGAGACTCCTATTAACACTACTACCGCCGCTCTGTCGGGGTTCGATATCTTCTCGACAGGCACTTGAGCGAGTCTCGAGCCCTAGTGTTGCCGCTTGCTGGGGGAGGATATATTTCGTGGCAGCGGCTCTTCTGTTCATCCAAAAAGCGGTGTAACTCCGGGGCACGCCGGTCGTGTGTGCCAATGCCCATGTGCTGGACTAACAACGCCTGCACAACGTGAACCCCCCCCCCCGGCTTGGAAAATTCAATACCAATGTTTTACCGGTCGAAGGGACTCAAATAGCGTTGGAGGCGAACCCATCCAACATCACAGCAGTTGTAGCATAATATAACTCTGAAACAGGGTGATTCGTGCCTTCGTGTGCAAGCATGTGTCATTTCTGCACTACTGCTGCTGGAAAATAATGCCCGCCGGAGGCAGGCTGTTCTACAACACGGCCCCGCGCACCTCCCCTGGCCGCTTGTCCCAGTACCGGCCGATGGAGTCACTGTCGTACACCAGTGGAAGACCATCCGCGTCCGTGAGCACGTCGCCGTACCTTATTTTCGACAGTGTTCGATGTGGCACACACAGCGTTGCGAATAAATCATTTTTGGGCGCCAAGCGCAGAAAAGAAAAAGCGGGATGGGGGAGGAAATAGAGAGAGATACACAGAGAAAGAAACATAGACAGAGGGTTGATTGCGATTGTGCGTGTGGGAGGAAGAGGGGGGGAAGGAGAGAACCAGGAAGGGAGATGAAAGAAAAAATAGAAGTTGTGGGTGTGTGCATGCACAAGCGTAGTCGTCGCCGCAGCATCATTTGCGCCTGTTCGCAATAGCTCGCGGGAGGAGAGAAGGGTAACACCCTCCTCCTTCGACGAACCAAGCCCTTCCTCTGCGTTACCCCTTGCCGTGCCGGAAGTGCTACACGTGTCGATTGATCTTCGACGGTGTGTGTGGCAATATATATATATATATATATATCTGAGTTCCACAGGAGCCTGCATTTACACGTCACCCGTGTACAAACGTCGTGATGATTTTTTCAGGTGATGCAAACTCACACGCTCAAGGGGCGTAGCAGCAGTGGTACATAGCACCGAAGACACCAGCGGGGGGGAGAACCGTACAGCCACCCAACATCAAACACCCAGTTCCAGCCGTACGTGCGAAAACCTGCCTCCTCATGAAATTCTTACATGTATCCGGTCGGGCGAGCCTTGTCACCCCCGCCCCCTTCTCCTTCCGCCGCCTCCGCCGTCACCCCCCTCGCAGCATCCCCGTTGTGCTGCTTGTTCCCCCCCAAGACCGCCGAGGGAGGTTTGTTCTTGACAGCCGAACTCGCTTCCGAGGCCGCCACCGATACGAACTCCCTCATGATTTCCTTGTCCGTCACCGGAGAAGAGTTCGCCATCTTCGTCGCCGCTGGGCGGACTCGACGGCCTGCGCTGCCTCGCCGGCGCACCGTACTACTCCCCGCCGAGCTTACGCCGGCGCTGGTCGAATAGATCGAGCGGACACCTCTCCTCGGCGGCGCTTGGGTCAGACCTCTCATCACGAAGGAGGACGACAAGCACTGAAAGAGGAGGGCGCTCCGCCCTCCGCCGCTCCCGCTTCCGCTGCCGCCACTTCCCAGCTCCCGCTGCTCTCCTGTTCCTCCTCTTCTTCGCGATGACCGGTGGTGCTCTCGAGGAGCGGCGCCGGCGGAAGAAGACGGGACTGGCCTGCGGTGCAACGTCCCCGCTGCGAGGGCTGTGGGGCTCGTGGAGGCGGCAGTGACGACGCCCCCCCGGCAGGAGGAGGCTAGCGCTACGGCCGAAAAGACCGGCGTGGCTCGCATGGTGGATATGAACGGGGGGGGGACTTTTCCGGGCTGTGACCGTCGGCTTTTCGTAGTTCCCTGCCACACGACACCGAAGAAGGAAAAGTTGGGGCAAAGAAACAAAAAAAAATACTACGTGATATTTCCTCCTGTGTGACCCCGGCTGTAATGTCAGGTACGTGCCATACACCGACAACGAAAGGCGTGTGAGTCGGCTCCAGAATAGAAAGCTGGGATGAACACACAAGCACATGCCTCTCCCACGACGCCCCACATGCCCGGGTCCTGGATCATGGCCATTGGAAGCGCTTTCTTGTTTTTCAGCTGCGCTGAGACCGAATCCTTTTCACGTGGTTAGCGGTATAGCGCACGCACGCACCGCGTGAGGGGGCACCACGCGAGCGAGTACGCATGTCTTGGTTGCAGTGAAAACTGGTGCACTCTGTCCTACAGACAGCAACCTTTTCGTGCTCTCGAGGACATCGCAACAGAACAGCAGTCTTTCTGTGAGGTTATGTTTACTTTCTAAGAACAGCACAAGACCAACCATCGTGTTCCCGTTCGGCTCTGCATGTTCTTGCCACACCGACTTCGCATCCTAGGACCATTGTTCGTGATATTTGACTTTCCCGCTGAGATGTTTCTGTACTGCCCTTGATGTACCGCAAGCGCGCCTCATTCCGCACCTCCGTGCGATCGTCACTACAATCGGGGCAGTCCTTGTGTTTCTTCGGGCTCACGCTCGTGCGACCTCAACGACTGTACCCTCGGGGAAATGGTGTGGTTCTAAACTCCAGCTCAATAGAATTGGGCGTACTTTCTTATCTTCAGCTCGTTGAATTTTTCACAGAGAGTTCGCGGCGGTACCAGGAGACTCGCCCTCGAAGGGGAGATATTCCCGGCACCCAGCGCACCCTCATGCGATCCCAACCCACCCCCCGTGCAGAAGTTTCAATGACACCACGTCTCATGTTTTAACTCGGGGCAAATGTTGGAGACTATCCGCATTCTATCCCAATCGTGGTAGGGTGCCAGCATATTCCATATCACAGGTCAGCATGCGTTAAGGCTGAGGACGCACTCCAGGAGCTTCAGAGGGTATCTGGAACACTCTGTACAAGTCTGTACAGCCTACTTGTCATAATCCTGAAGTGCGAAAGCGGGGGTGTAGCCTGTTAGACAACATCGAGACGGCAACGGTTGCAACTCTGCTCGCCAGTAGCATATAATAATATGCCAGAAAAGTATAGCCTGGACAAGCGATACAGCCAGTACAGCAGCTGCTTCGGAGACGACACGGCAGTACATGTAGCAATCAGAGGACACGGGTCGTCTCGGGCGCGTACATAATGGTACAATGGCAGAGTACTTAATTAACCAAATTTAGCAAAATGTCACCGCAGCAGTAGGGCCGCACCTGCTGGGGTAGACTTTACCTCCTCCAGCGTCACACGTCAGCGAACGGTGAGCACCGTGAGAAATCAAGCTGCTGAGTGCAGAGGTAGTGTAGCTGTTGGGTGGAGCAATGTGGCTTGGCTGGCAAGAGGCAGCGGGCAAGGCAAGGAAGCAGAGGCTTGAAAGGACACCGTGTCAGGTTCGCAAGACTGTCATAACACACGTCAGAGGTTCATCAGCCAATCAAACGAGAGCACCACCAGGGGGTCATCGGACGGGAACAAAACCCGCCGTACGCACTGCTCTAGATCTCTATCGTTATACTTGGTATCCAGGTTCTGCTGATGACCCGATCAACCAATCCAATGCAGAGCGATCTGGCTCGACGCTAACGGTTCTTGTGCTAGGTTCGAGGTTCTTGTCAGTAGTTTGCTCTATGTCTCGGACGGTTGTCGCCGAAGATAATAGATCAAAGACTCGAAGACCGAGAATGATAGATGGTGCTTTGAAGAGGAATCTTTGTCGTTGATTCTGCTCGCTGCTGTACAAGTACTCAACTGAAGCCGATCAACACTGCTGCTATTCGACCGAACTCCTGCACTCACTTGCTGGAACCCACCACCGCTTCGAACTCTGTCAACGCACTGGTAACCGGACACTCAAGCTCGCCTTCTGCTCCTTGCCCTCTGGTAGACTCTCTCTTCTGATCATGAGCGGCAGCGCTGGTGCTGCTGCTGCTGCACAACATCCTTCACGTACGTCCACAGAAATATTCCAATTCCGCCGCAAAGCGGGGACCGAACCCAAACATCCCCTGAAGCGAGCCTACTTCGTACCACATTCCCCCACACTGCTTTTTGACATGGTGGAAAATTTCACTATGTCCAAAAGTAATCCACAACGTCATGATTTCCTCTTGAGAGAATTTGGCGTGAAGTACTATTTTCCACACTGGAACTGGTATATTCTCGCTCGCGGCCGCTCTTATCTGGCGACAAAATTGACAACACATATCCTCTTGAAAATGGCACGACAAAAGTACTTACAAGGCCATGGAATCCGATCTATCTTCAANGGCATGAAGTACAATTTTCCACACTGAAACTGGTATATTCTCGCTCGCGGCCGCTCTTATCTGGCGAAAAGTTTCCAACACATAGTCTATCCTTCTTGAAAATGGCACAATAATAGTACTTAAGCCATGGAATTCGATCTATCTTCAGCAGGGACCCGATTCTTAACTCCACGAGATCAAGCCTTCGTCAACCCTTCAGGCCCTAGGAACCCAACACAAACCACCACATACAAATTCCAAGAGAATTTTTCATCCTACCATCTGCCGTCTTTTGGAAACGACAGCCGGCACCAACACCAAAAATCCCGGTTCAACAATCTTTACCTGACTTGCTAATACCCGATAACTACGAATGCTACTGAACGAAAGCATTTTTGTTCCCGCAAGAAAGACGCCGTACTCACCCCACAGAAAGGCGGCAACGAACCTCTGTGACTCCCCTCAGTCGGACATTTGACTGTTGAAATCGGCGCTACCCGACGGTGCAGACCGACCCCCAAAAGGACTCCCAACAACTAGAAATCAATCGCTTCACGTTGTTTTGTAACTCACACCCCAGCTAAATGAAGCTATGAAATCCACCCGAGACACATACATCAACGATCCTTGACCAATTTTCTCCCCACGCGTGTCTGATATATGCGCACTCTCCCAATGCAAGGCTGAAGCTAATTTTTTTTTTTACATTTACACAGCACATTGACAAGGACAAACATAGACACAGCACTTGACAAGGACAACAGCAAGTTGACATCAACACAGCACATTTTCAGCTTCAGCTTCAGCTTCCTTGCGGAACATTTATTACAGGAGAGCAGACCTTTGGCGGTCTTAGGGGAAAAGGAAAAGCCAACGAACCTTGCTGTATTGCCTACCCTGGAACTCCAAAGTTCACCGAAGAATGACCACCATGAAAACGATATCATCGCTTGAAAAAGAGCTTCAAAAGCTTCCTGCCCGAAATTGGTAGAACCACAACGAAACATTGACCCCCTATCCTAGAAGTAAAGCACGACGACCTTCCCTTCGAGAACGCAAACACTCCCGGACATTCGCACCCGCAATGACCAAGGCACCAACAAAACAACCAAGAATTTGAACCGGAACTCCTCTAGGTGGGACAGCCCATCAATATTTTCAGTAAAAACGAAGTTTTTACCGAACACAGGCTATTTTATTTTTTTTGAATGGCCTGTGCCTCTACCCCCCATCCACCCGCAAAAGGACGGCAAGTCGCTACCAAGACATCAGAGCCAAACAGCAACAACCGACACACCACACCGGGAAAAAAAAAACATCATCGGCATCAGAACGCAACACCTAAGACAAAAAATCAGGAACACGCCGCACGCGGAAACAGAAAAAAAAAAAATTGTGGCGATGTCGTTCGTCTCGCGTTCTCCTCCCGTCGCGAAAGCATTATTCCGCGAGGCTCCGAATTGCTCTCCGCCTCCACCTGGAAAAATCCTCGACGGGCCGTGTCGCTCTCCCCACCACCACGAAAATCCGACCTCCACAGCGCTCCCCGACCACCACGGCGAAACCTCCTCCACAGCGCTCCCCGACCACCACGGCGAAACCTCCTCCACAGCGCTCCCCGACCACCACGGCGAAACCTCCTCCACAGCGCACCCCGACCACCACGGCGAAACCTCCTCCACAGCGCACCCCGACCACCACGGCGAAACCTCCTCCACAGCGCACCCCGACCACCACGGCGAAACCTCCTCCACAGCGCACCCCGACCACCACGGCGAAACCTCCTCCACAGCGCACCCCGACCACCACGGCGAAACCTCCTCCACAGCGCACCCCGACCACCACGGCGAAACCTCCTCCACAGCGCACCCCGACCACCACGGCGAAACCTCCTCCACAGCGCACCCCGACCACCACGGCGAAACCTCCGCCACAGCGCACCCCGACCACCACGGCGAAACCTCCGCCACAGCGCACCCCGACCACCACGGCGAAACCTCCACCACAGCGCACCCGTAAGGTCCCGTTCCGCCGGACGCTCCCGGATCGTACGTGCACAAGGAAGCACCACGATCCAGGCGGACCATCCACCGCCGTACAATATTTCGTCAACGACAACGACACGTTGAAACGCCGCTCGAGGTCGACGAAATTGACGTTGTACGGCAGGTCCTCCTCCTGCGCCCTCGAAACCTGATGTACCTCTCCTAGTTGCCAGCCCTCCTGCTTCGTTCGCACGTAAACAGGCGCTCCTTTCATCTCCGCTGACAGCAAGGCAGGCCCACGCTCCCACGTCGCCAGTAACGCGTACCCTGGTGGCACATCAAGGGAATTACGGGAGCGAGCTTGCGCGCGGTGCGCGGCAAGCTTATTATAGTCACGGTGCACTTTATTGTCGGCTCCTACTTGACGCACTGCACTGCCCACCCAATACTTGACGACAAAGTCACCATACTGCTGGATGTTTGCTTCAGATTCCCAAGTGGGTTGGCGGTGTCCGCGCCAACGCGTTTCGTATTGTACCGCGATGGAACCCCCTGGACCTCTACTGATACGGTGACCGGTGATAGCGGTCGGCTGTGCACGCTGTACGTCAAGCTCTATTTCCACGTCATCCGCGGTTGGGTAGAAGGGAGGTGCCATGTCCGCAAATTCATGCAGGACGTACGAACAAATTTTCCAAGGTAAAAAGTCGGGGATGTCCTCGGGTTCGTCCGCACGATGGCAACGCTTACACCGCAACACTGAGACACGGTTGGATTTGGCCTGTGTGTCGTGCGGTAAATCCAGATACAGCAACTTGGACCCAACTTCCATGTCGTTAAAGCGACAGGGCCCTACAGCAAGCACTTTAAACGGTCCTGTCCACAGGTTAGCGAGTTTCGCTTTAATCCTCTTGGCAGAAGCTGTTTGATCGTTATTCGCCGTACGGAGGGTGTGCTGTGGATCGTAGCACCACACCCACGCGCCCGGTGGAAAATCGGCCGCTTCGTAATGAGGTTGTCTAGATCTTCGTTGCGTGCTCGGTGTTTTTCTTTCGTGAGTCTGTTTCTTTCAACCACTAGCTCGTAGGCTTTCGCTTGCCGGCCTTTCATGAACTGGAGGTATTCTAGATCATCCCGCTTTTTCGACTGCATACCAGAAACCACCTTCTGTGACCCAAGAACCGTCATCGGAAAACGAGGATACCGGCCAAAATGTACTTCCATGGGCGCCAGACCGGTAGCCTTACTCGCGTGATTGTTGTGAGCGTACACACACGGCAAGAGATGGTCGTCCCAATCGGTTTGTTGGGCGCTGATCACGTGAGACAACATCTGGCAGACCGTATGGTTCAATCTTTCGACGCACCCGTTGGATTGAGGGTGGAAGGAGCTGGTAAACCGTTTCTTGGCCCCAAGCAATCGGTACACATCACGCGCGACAGCCGCCGTAAACTCGCCACCTCTATCTGACAACAAATACACCGGACATCCCCAACGTGTTCAATAATCGTCGGCTAGCTTTGAGGCACACCCTTGAGCGGTTTTCTCGTCGGCAGAGAGAGCGTAGGGTTCAGCATGCCTACTAAACAAGTCGACGACCAGCAACACGTATTTGTTTCCGCTTTTAGTTGTCGGCAGAGGGCCAAGAATATCAAACGCCACCATTTCCCCCGGCCGAGAGGGTAAGGGAAGCGAAATCAAGGGCCATCTAGGTCTTCGGCGAGCCGTTTTCGAGGCTTGGCACACGATGCAGTGTTTGATGAACCATCGCACGCTGTCACTCATGCCAATCCAAAAATAGTAACGCTCGAGGGAGGCCAACGTCACGTCCTCTCCTAGATGACAACCTTCTGTGTGCACCGCATTTAGCGCCCACGGCCGCAAAAGAAAAGGAACATACAATCGAACCGGTTCATCCCCCAAAAGTCTTTCGAATTTACCGCCGCTGTGTCGTTGGGCGCGAGATGTAGGCGCTTCGGACGGTTTCTTTATCAGCAGCACGTGGTGGGCGTCTTTGGCCCCTACCGGTTCGGAGCGAGGCAAATTCACGAGTGTGCATTTGCTCGCCAACTTCTGAATCCTTTTAAGAGTGATAGTACCCTCATCCCCACTAAAATCGCCCATATCGGGAAAAGTCAAAGAGTCAGAATCACGCACGTACTTGATGACGTAAGACGCCAGGGGGTCTCGCGCTTGCTCGGAGGCCCACTCGAGGTCGGACCTGTCGCACAAGCGCGCCCCGAATCGACAAGTCGACTCGACGCGCGCGTCGGTAGCGAAGGTTGGGCGCTGGGCGGCGGCCGACGGGGAACGGCGGGCGGCAGCGGCTCGTCTCGATCTCGATGGACGATCTCGGGGCCCCTCAGGTGTCGAATCTGAAACTCGGCGCGGCCTCGGTGGACGATCGCGAGACTGCTCAGGTGCCGTGTCAGCCGTAGCGGGCGTCGGCACGGCTGGACGCCGGGCGCGACGACCGGCCCCGCGAGGAGCCGGTTATTCCACCGCGGGGTCGGCTGGGGGAGGCGTTCTCTGGCACCGGTGACGGCGACCGGCCCCGCCAGGAGCCGGTGTGTCCTCCGCGGGGTCCGTCCGGGACGGCGGTGTCGGACCCCGGGCGGCGGCACGACGCGCCGGACGTGCGGCCGAAGCCCCGCCGCTAGCCGGCGCAGCGGTGGCAGCGGCGGACTCAGGTGCCTCCTCCCGTTCTCGAATCTTCCAGGAAGGACGACGGCTTGCTCGGGCACGAGGTGACCGAGGCACGTCCCCAGCGGAGCGGGTGGAGACCGGCAACACCGGGGTGGCCGGAAATACCGAGCACGCGTGCAGCAGAACACCTGATTGAAACTGACCACTGAAAGTACGATGGGAAACGGGAGTGGAACTAGGGACGGGAGACGGGTTAATAGCGAGGACCCGCGGCGCCTGATACCTGACGGTACTGACGCCGCGTTGACGAGATCGGACAGCCAGATTCCATTGGTCCTGCGCGACTTCATCGGTGGTCAACGGATCTACGGGCTCCACAAACGACCCAAAATCCTCATGGGAGGATGTCTGCCATTACAAGTCCAAGGGAGGAAACAGGCAATTTGCCGCACCCACAAACACTTCTAGATCACCCTCTTCCATGAGGCGGTTCGGCCCCGATCCAGCCTTTCGGTCGCAGGTTGCGGCAACCGAGAAAGCATGTCAGCCACCTGATTATCGTTCCCCTTTTTGTAGCGCAAGGAAAACTGATAGCTGCTGAGGAAGTCACACATTCCATGCACACGGGGCTTCTTTTCACTCAAAGACAGATAGGCAGTCAACGGTTGGTGGTCCGTATGCACCACGAAGGGAATACCGTACGAATACACTCGGAGCTTTTTTACAACCCAAAACAACGCCCCCATTCCTAGGTCAGCCGTGTCCCAGTTGCGTTCGTTGGGAAGAGTCGATCGACTGACGTATACGAGAGGACGCATTGTGCCATCATTCCGTTGCTGTTCCACAACGGCCCCAACACCATGAACAGACGCATCGGACGATAGCTGAAACGGGCGGGAGCCATTGATGGCGGCCTCATAGTCAAGGAACGCCAAAGTTGTCGTGCTCATCAGCGTTTTGAGAATCGCTCTAGTGGTTTCTTCGTGTTGAGTCGTAAACCGAAATTCCTTGTCTTTTTTAACATCTCGTTGAGACCCCGCACTCGAGTGGCCGAGTTAGAGATGAACTTGCGGAGATACGAAAAACTGCCAACAGGGAACGCAGCTGGCTCTTATTCGTAGGGATAGGCATATTTTCCAACGCCGCAACCATACCACACCCAGGCGCGAGGCCAGTTGGGGTGATCAAATGCCCCAAAAATTCCACTTCGGCGGCACCCATATTCGCGTTCTTGGGAGCGAGTTTCAGATTGTGGATACGCAACCTTTCCAACAACTTCTCGAAATGCACCACATGCTCTGCCGCTGATTTTGAGTGCACCACGATATCATCCAGATACAACTGCACACGCTCCAACCCCTCACACACCTTGGCCATCAATAACTGGAAGTGGTTGGGCGCACCACTCGCCCCCGTGGGGACTCGAACGAATTCGTACAACCCCGTACTCGTCACGATGGCCATTAACGGGATGGAATCCTCGTGGATCGCGGCTTGATAGAAGCCGCTCACCACGTCGAGCTCCGAAAAGACGGAGCTACCCCCCAGCTGGTCGATGCATTCTGCAGTGTGAGGCAGAACGCTACAGGGGACTACTGTTGCGCTATTAAGTCGTTTCAAATTGGCCGTTACTCGCACCGACCCGTTCTTTTTTATCACAGGCACCACCGGGGACGCTCAATCGTTGTTGGAACGCCGCAACATGCCCGCCAGCACCATTTTATCTATCTCAACCTGAAGCTTGGCATTTATCGCGGGGTTTCGGCGATGCGCGCTGCTTGATAGGGCGCGTACCAGGCTTCAATTCAAGTCGGAAAGGGATGGTGCTACAGTAGCCTAGGTCAACCGGGTTCTCAGAGAATCGATCAGAATATTTCGTAAGGAGCGCAGCGAGGCGATCGATATCCTCAGGCTGCCACGCGGAATGATTCAGACCAAAATTAATTTCTCTAAGATGCGGCGGCACGGTTGCCCATAACCGGCGGAAAGCACTCTCACACTCAGGAGCCATAGTCCCCAGCAACTCCGCCGGCGGTTGCTCGGGGCGGTCAAGATTGACCGGGCTCGAGCCGTCTACCACGTTGACCTTCGAATCGCGAGGGGAGGCAGTTGCTACCGTCTCGCGAAACACAAAGTCGGACACAGGAACATCAAGCAGCGGCGTCACACTGCAAC